ACATACAGTATCTATGATACGGAAATGTTTTAAACCATTGCTACACCTCCAGGTTGAAAATTTCGGAACTTAATCAAAATATAAAAAGATTTGAGCTCAGGTTAAAGTTTTTAGAGCTCTTGAATAGCTTTTGACGATCGGCTGGACAAATGGTCCATATTTAAAACTACTCTTAACAAGAACCACTCTTCCCACTCATGCAGGAAGAGACTGAAACTAACCAACCAGTTCAGTGGCTGTACATGACTGAAATTGGATCCAACCCTTAAAGCAAAGTGGAAAGGTGTGCTAAAAGATCTATTTTATGCACTGCCTGCCTTAAACAAAACTCTTGAATATGTTTTAATGATGCAAAGATTTAATGGCTACAAGCATTCAAAGCATCAGGCAGAATGACCTGAAACTTGAAGCCAAGCCAGGGCTCTTTATACATACAGTACAGTGCAAGAAAACCACTACCAAAGCTTGCTATTACTGAACTGCCAATGGGACCATTATCTGGCCCTGATTGTAGCAGCCTACAAACTTGTAAATAGCTTCCCTTGGACTGATAAACCTGTGTCTCTCTTCTTTTGTGCAATATGCATTATAGTGTGTCAACTGTGTTATGCATTTACATTTTTGGGCATTATAACTATATGTTAATGTGTGTATATGTTAATGTGTTATGTGATAATAAATGCCAATTGCATTGGCCTACATATATCAAAAGTTTGGGGTCAGCAATACTTTTTTTATGAAAGAAATTCCTATTTTTAAAATTGTGAAGGATCATGTGACACTTAAAACTGGAGTAGTGGCTTCTGAAAATAACATTTTCAAATATAATAAAATAGAGAATCAGAAAATCCTTCTTTTAAATTGTAATAGTATACACACAATATCCCTTTTTTGGACATATGTACACTGTAAAAAAATTACTATGAATTTAACGGTAAAAGAGTGTAAAAATGCTACAGTAAAAACCTGTTAAATGGTTAATGGTAAATTCCCCTACTATGTACGGTGAAAAACTGTATTGGACATTACATGTAATTTTACAGTAGTATACCATTTTTGGAAGTGAAAAATACCATATAATTTACAGTGAATAACCGTAAATTGACTTTCCCAGAATTCCCTGCGTTACATTTCAAATTTGATGTTTTTTTGTTGAAATAACTATGGTTCTTCTTAGTTTTTTCTTATCAGTTTTGTATATTAGGGTTGTATGTTACACCTAATGTTGTTAAATGAATTTTTATTGCATTACTTCAGTTTCATGTGTGTTACCATGATGGTGTTTAGTGTTTGTGTGAATGACACTGTGCACCTTCTATGTATGTTATTATTTAAAAGCTGTTTGTGATGGGCTTTGGTTCATCATGTGACTTTCTCATCACAACCTGCTTCTGATGGTTATCAGTGTATTACAAAGGTACAAAACAGATTTCAGTACTTCAATAGGTTGGTATAGTAACATTATATCAGTTAATGAAATTACGGTATTTAACTGTAAATTTAAGTTAAAACCGTAAAACCTAAAACGTTGCTACCGTATATTTTACCGTAAATTTTATGGAATTATTTTACAGTGTAGCCTTAAAAACATTTTTAAAAATGTTACTGTCCTCAAATTTGTTTGTTGTTGATCAGTTTAAGGAGTTTAAGGATAATCTAAAATAATATTATTCTTGCTTGTATTTTTTATGAAAATTATTAATATATTTTATTATATTTGGCTATTTGTCTTATTTTTATGTTTAATATGAAATTAATTAGCTTGCATACCTTTGCCTTCTTTAAAGGCAAAACAAACTGCTCACATAACAGCTATCAGTAACAGTCGCAGCAAATGCATTCAAGAGTTTGAGGTGAAGTTCAAGCCAATGAGCCATCAGGATTTTGGAGGCAGGGAGTATCAGGGTGTGAAAGGTACATGGGAGACAGGGGAGTGAGGATGCCTGAAGTATGAATCAGCACGGTAAATATGAGCTCCACTTTGTTAAGACACCACACCCTACCACACAATCCTCCTCTCTCATTCCCTTTCCTGCTTTCACTGAATAGAAGAGGAATAACAACTGGAATACACCTCTATATCCATGCCCAGAGGGCCCAAGAAGCAACAATAAATGCTATTAAAAGTTGTAGAGGTTTCTTGTAGTGAAGCATTTAAAATGTGACATATGTGTTTTTCGTTTTAGTGTAGGGAATAAACCTTTGAAACTTAGTAATGCATTTGCCTAATATGTTATGTGGGTTACCTTATAGGGGCTGACCTGTTGAGAACCAAATCTGCTTTTTCTCCATAACCTCTATTATTAATGGATGCTTTTACACACAGAAAAAAAAATCATATCTGACTGTGAAAAGAACATTTCTACAACCAGATAAACAAAATATTTCAATATCTTGTTTCATTCAGAAATATGTCCTGTTAAGTAAAATGGGTTTAAATATGGATGTCCTATTAAGTAAAGTGTAAAAACGTAAAAGTTTCCAAATTTAACATATCATGACAACTTAATGCATGACATTTTTACTTTTATTGTTAACCAAAACACATCGCACACAACTATAATGTTTAACTGGTGCAAACTGCTCTGAAAAACCTTTTGTCCCACTCAAATGAATATCAAACACATAATGAAAAGAGAGAATGAAGGTGATACAAATATGTCAAAAGCATGTGAGCATGAGATAGAGAAAAGCAGAGAGAGAAAGAGAGCGAGAGACAGTTGTAGCAGCAGCAGATGACAGGATGAATGTTGATGATGATATAGAGGGGTCAGAAAGGCAAAGAGTCAGCAGTACTAACTGGTAACACCACCGGGCAGCTAGTTTCTAAAAGGCCTACAATTAAGATTCCTATCTGCTTGAAAGGGAAAATAACAAAATCTCCAAAAACAAACTGTCTTGATTGTGTTTAAAAAATTCAACGAGCAATAAAGTGTAACAATATTATCACAAAGCAAGCTTTAGTGCAAATTTGTAATATTGACTGTCACCACCATATACTGTCTCTGCTGAAGTCTAGCTACATTGCATTATGACTTCCAGTAGCTTGCCTATAGTGACTTCCACACTGCTTGACAGGCCCCTTAATGATAGTCCCTGCTGTATAAAAACTGTGATTCTTTTCATTCAGAACATTCAGTGGGGTGAGGAGAGAGGAGTCTTCTTTTGGCAGGGACACAAATAAAAAATCTCCTGAACACCCTGAAACTCATGACAAAAAAAAAAAACTAACTACAGACAGACTGTCTGAGTAACTCGGTCTCTGACAATTTTTGCATGAAACTACCCTTTTCTTGCTTTTCCCACTCCCCTCTACTCTGTCCTTACCCTCTGTTCATATTCTTCCATTCCCTCTTTCCCTAACAAACCACTCCCACCCTTTTCAAATAGTCTCTGGATTTTGCTTGTGGTATTTTCCATAGATGAGAAAAAGAAAGAAACCTTCTCTACATTAATCCAGCATGACTGCCATGTGGGAGAGAGAATGCATGTAAAAACATGTCAGTGTTCGTTTATTCTGCGACCATCAAACAGAATCCTGCTTTTTAAGGCAGCTGGTTGTCCAGCTGAGGCGACTTCAGTAACAAACAGTGCAAGCGGACATAAAAGCATACATCAGTTAACACTAGAAAAGCTTTACATGGTTGATTAAAAAAAGTATTTGTTCATTTACGTAACACCTTTAAATGTCAACATGTTATTGCATAAGATAATAAATGTCACGTGTACAAGATGCTGCTAGAGCTTCTTCTCAAAACACTTTTCTTCATAATTTTTGATCAGTGGCTTTTAATCATCTGGTGATTTTATGTCCTAGCAGAGTAACCAGAGGTTAAAAGGATCCAAACATCTTAATCTTAATTCTACACGTAAGTTTACTAAGAATGGGGCTCAATGTGTCAATATGAAGGAACATTACATAGGTGTTTTACTCATATTTTGAATTATGCATTGCATTGTGTTGAGTTTTTGTGTTGTAAAAAATGTCTGTAAACGTACAGTATGTGTGATATTTTGAACTCAAACTTTTTTTTGTTAAATGTAGCACTTGAAAATTGTGCTTTGATGCTTTGTTATGTAATGCAGTGACATTCAATTTTAAGTAAGGAAACACTTTTTAAGAGCCACTATGCATGCTTATATTTATTAATTGCAATATGTAAAAGAAAAAAAAAAAAGATCTGCACACTGTTATTCTCCCTTTCTTTAGAAAAAGTTAAAAATGGTAACGTTTCGGTCAAAGACCGTCATCAGGCGCACATGTCTTACATTAACTTTTTCTAAATAAAGGCAGATCCAAGTCTGCAGATCTTTTTGTACGATTTGATTAATTTTTTATCTTGCACCTGGTCAAGACACTTTGGATGTGCGTACGTTGACATTTTTTAATGGTAAGATGTATTAATTTTCCCAAGGCCACACCCTACCAACTATGGCTGTGACATGTGATGCACCCTGCAGACTTTATATTGCACTCATTGTAAATACAATGCAAATCACCTTTACAAAACACGTTATTTTACAAAATATCTTTGTAATTTATGAAAGGAACGGGGGGGAAAAAACAAGATCTCTTTGCAATACCGCAAACGTTTCTTCTGGATGCCAATTACAATAAATGAAGAGCATATGGAAACTTTTGCTTTGTTTTTCCTGAGAAAAAAGATCCAGAAATCTAATCTTGGGTTTGAGAAGATATCTCAACCTTTGCTCCGATTTGCCAAGAAACTGAAATCTGCTGTCAGAAGTGAAATCATTGTGACGTAAGAACCGTTTCTTATCAAGTTCCTCCAAGATCTGAGCTATTCCAACTACATAGTACATTCATTTTATAGATACTCATACTGCATGTCAACAGTTGTCTCAGTTGTGTCCATTTTTCAAGAATTTCAAGAGAAGCATCTGAGACAAAGTTAATATTTAAATCAAACGTAACCTAGCTATGAAACCTGATCAACCTCTAAGCAATCCTAACTGTCCTCTGTGTGCATACTCCTCACCTGGTAGATCATGACTTTGAAGTTTCTTCTCTTCAGAAGTTCGTTCTCGTTGCTCTCCAGGCGTTTGATCTGCCCAGCCTGTTTTTCCAGGCTCCCTCGCACCGTCTTCACATTCACACTGACTTTCTGCACCTTCTCCAGCATCTTATTGACCGTGTTGGCTGTGGTGGTGTGGCTCTTAGACAGTTTGGTGAGTTCCCCCTGGATGCCCGTCACTGATCTCTCCATCACCCGCTGACGGGCTTCCAACCCAGCCTGAGTCTGCTGGATCTGGTCCACGGCCCCAATGATTTTGTCCAGCAGCGCCAGGACCATGACTCCATTCATCTCACCTTTGTCTCCCTCACCTGCCTCTTCTTTCTCATCAGCGGCTTTTGCTTTGTTCTCGGCGATGGCCTCATCTTCATCATCAGAGGCCGGGAGGTTGATTTCATCTTCTGAGATCTCAGTAAGGGATTTGTGCATGTCAGGCACCTCCAGGTGCAGATGGCGGTCTTCAATCACTTCCATGTTTAAAAGTTTGAGAATGTGGTAAAATAGCGTCGAATTTGAAAGGATACAAGCAGTGGAATGTTCTGTGTCCTTACTTGCCTTTTTCTTTCTGCTCTCAGGATTCCCCTTTAGAGTTCACCTAACTGTTCCCTCCTCTGTCACACTCACCACATCTGCTCTCCTCTCTCTCTTTCTCTCCTCTAAGTGTGTTTGGGATCTGGCCAGAGCAGCGGATGCTGGCAAGCAGGCTGTGGACGGTCTGTACTGCATGAGCGCTGGGTCGTGAATGCCACACTTTCCTGTGAAACCCTCCAGACAAATCAGCTGCGTGCCAGCTGCCTTCCTCTTACCCACTGACACTCCCCCTGCACACTGTGTGTATGTGTGTGTTGGAGAGCAGTGCTCCACCCAGTGGCCTGCATTGGGACCCCATTGTAAAAAAAAAACACACACAAATGAGATCTCTGTGGAGATGAACTTTTTCCATTGTCAAAACAGTTTACGTTTAAAGATGAAGACCCCGGTCATATCAGTGGTCTAGAAAATATTCTACATAAGGTTCTACATAAGGGTGGTCCACCTCATTGTGGCTGCTATGAACAACTAACCAGACAAATACTACACTCCTGAAATCACAAGGGATACCATTGTAAAAAAAGAAGAAGAACACTTTAAGCATCCTTTTCAAATACAGAAATAAAATACTTAAGTGCAAACTGAATGTAATGTTTTCAGACACTTGTTAAAAATGAAAACTGTGCATTTACATAAAATGCATTTTGACCCACCTAAGCAGGACTTAAGTCATCCTTATATGTAACTTCATAATTACTTCTATTGTCTTTGAAATATGGTTAAAGTGCTCTGCTAAATGTACTGACAAGCATTTATGGTAGTGCTGTCAAATCGTGATTAGTCACATTCAAAATAAAAGTTATTGTATGCATAATACATGTGTGTGTGTGTGTATAATTACACACACACATGCATATATTTAAGAAAATATGTTAATTGTATATATTACAGTAAATATATTATATATGTATATATTATTTATATATAAATATTTTCTAAATATATACTGTATGTGTGTATTTATATATATGCATAATATACATCAACTTTTATTTTTGATGTGATTAATCGCAGTTAATCGTTTGACAGCAATAATTCAAACATCATTTCTGTTGAAACGTTTATGTCATATATTTGTGTATTTGCAATTAACATGTTGCAATTTTGTAGAGTCAATTTTATGTTTAGTATAAATACAAAGTACTTTATGTGTTTTAGTTTACCATAAATGCTTGTCAGTATATTTTGCAGTAAACTTTAACCATATTTCATAAGGCAACAGAAGTATATGAAATTACATAAAGATGTATTAAAGTCCTACTTCAGTGGGTCAAAAAAGAAAAGAAAAAAAAAACTGTTGAGTTCAATTAATTGTATTTAATACATTTAAATTTAAACTGTAATACATTTTCATTTCATTGTAAATAAAATGCAAGTAAGTGTCCAAAAACATTATATTCACATCGCACAGTAAATTATTTCTGTAATAAGTACTATACTGAAAATATTAATCAATAATTTCTTCAAATAAAGGTCAAATCATCTTATCATTTTATAAGTTTATAGGTCTAAATTCCTGTATATCAGCAGTTATCTCATTTTTCTCGATTTTTATACCTCCAGATGAATTGTAAGATAATACTTATATGACACAAATTCAAACTCCATTGTATCTTTTGAGCAAACTTGAGTAGTAATTTTTTTTCCTCTGGGACAGTGCTGTATATGTGTGAAGATAACATGAGGTTCTGGAGAGTGTAGCAGTATTAGACAGGCACAGACACAGCGAGAGCTGGAATGTAATCCAGACCTACAGGGTTTTTAAGTTCCCTAAAGGCCCATTTTCCCATACAGCACACCATTAAAGCCACCCAAAGAGAAGAGTTCACAGAAATAACTTGAGCTCTAATGCGCGTGGGCCCTGCATGTGTATACATGTGCAAGTCTGTGTGTTATTCCATCTAATCTTTCTCTCTGATGAAATGCTGTTATTTACTGTTTTAGTCATTTTATTCACTAGAGATTGATTGATGATAACATTATTAAATTCTTCCAGTTGAAAATGGCTTTGTAGATTTGGAATGACTCCAAAAATGATCCTAGCAAAACATACATTAAAAGTCAGAGAGGATATTCATCATCTTCAGAGCATTGATTGTCCAGGTGCTAATTAGTTCTATAAATTCTATAAATAAACTAAAATAAAGCTATAATACATTTTAAGCTATAGATAAAGATACATAAACTACTTTTGAAAATATTAGTTAAAGGGTTAGTTCACCCAAAAATGAAAATTCTGTCATTAATTACTCACCCTCATGTCGTTCCACACCCCTAAGACCTTCGTTCATCTTCGGAACACAAATTAAGACACCCAATCTTTCAAGATCCATAAAGGTACTAAAGATGTCGTTAAAACAGTCGACGTGACTACAGTGGTTCTACAATAATTTTATGAAGCGACAAGTATACTTCTGTCACGACCACTATCGTCAAAATGATAGATACTTAGCATAAAGTTTGGTTTGGCGGTATGGTTCTGTTCTGGGCAAAAAAACTCTCTGCCCATCCATGCAGCCTGTCATGAATGAGCAGGGAGAGCAGCAATAATAACACCCCTATGGTTAACAGAACAGAACAAGGCAGATATCATTAATGTACTTAATGATATTTAAGTGTAACACTTTATTCAAGATAAAGGAGTCTGATTAGCAAGGAATATCAGAAAGCCAAGTCCTGACTGTGGCTAAAGGAGGAGCTGGGGATGGAGGAGTGTAATTTGCTCCTGAGCAACCTGAAAAGCTGCTGAAAAGCCGGCTCATTATTGGCCAAAGCTGCACATGTGAGCAGCGCGACGCATGCGTGTGATGCTGTTGCAGGAGCCATCCAATAATGAACGTAGAACCTGGAAGCGCTGGATGTAAACAACGTATGAGAATGACACAGAAGAGAAGAGGTTGTTGAATAAAGTCGTTATTTTTGTTTTGTTTTTGCGCACAAAAAGTATTCTAGTCGCTTCATAAAATTATTGTAGAACCACTGCAGTCACGTCGACTGTTTTAACAACGTCTTTAGTACCTTTATGGATCTTGAAAGTCTGGGTGGCGTTGCTGTCAATGGAGGCCTCTCTGAGCCATCGGATTTGATCAAAAATATCTAAGGTCTTAGGGGTATGGAACGACATGAGGGTGAGTAATTAATGACAGAATTTAAATTTTTGGGTGAACTAACCCTTTAACATCAGGTGTAAGTTCTGAAATTCATGATGCACATAATGGGCCTTAATTGGGTTACTAACAACACAAAGGAAAGACTTGCAGCGTGTGTGTGTGTGTGTGTGTGTGTGTGTGTGTAAGTGTGAATTGGTCAGGCATATGTTTCTCACCTGGTTCTTCAGTATAGTTCCCAACTCTAAATATATACAGGTTCATTACAGAGTCTGTGCTACATTCTTTTAAGGTCTGCACTCTCACCTCTTACTGTGGCACACAAACTTGAATCATTCAGTCTATATCAGATAACTCTGAGCATACAGAGTAAAGGTCTATATAGGGTATTGTTCTACAAACACTATGGATAAATAATTAAATATTCTTTCTTGATTAATTCTTGACTTGAAAGATTTAAAAAAAGTGAAATTACCATGGTTCCTAAACAAATAGGATTCTGAGTTAGGATGTGTCTCTAATAAACCTCAGATATAGCAACTAGTTAGACACAGTATCTAACTGTATAATAGTATCAAAAGGAGAATACTTTTAAGAACTCATAAAGGCCATCTCTCTTGTACTCCATAGCTATGCTATCGAGTACATAGCTTGCAATGAATTGATATTAATATTTATTATTCTGTTAATATTTCATATTAAAATTTAAATAACAAATATTTCATTATATCATAGTATATGTTTTGTAAATGTCCTATGTTTTAGGCATATTATAAAGTTATGCTTTTTTGTTGTTTTTTGTTTGTTTGTTAGTTTTTTTATGAAATGTAATAAAATTTCACCCATCCAAAAGTGAAAAGAAGAATAATCTTTTATCCCTCTTCTTTTTAAGATGTGAAATCATGTTCCTAAATAATTTTAGTAATGGTAGCTAATTCACATTATCCCCTTAACCACTTGTTTTACCAGTGCAATTTACTACAGAATTAAGAACTTGCTTCCAAAATAGTAGTATTGGTTTTAATCAGAGGTGGACAAAGTACTCAACTCCATTACTTGAGTGAAAGTACAGATACTGCTGGTCAAATATTACTCCATTACAAGTAAAAGTTGTAAAGACAGATTTTTACTGAAGTAAAAGTACAGAAGTCCTTAAAAGTACTTAAGTAGCAAAAGTCAATTTTCTTTCTTATGTCAATGCACTGTTTTATTGTTGTACGTAATACTTGCAATACTTCTGAAGCAACTTAGAATACATTACACCTACTGAATACACTGACTAGCTTGTAGTATCTTTGGAATAAAGAGCTGTTAGAATGTTAAAAACCTATGGGAAAAAAAACAAAACAAAAATAAATAAATAAATATTTAACACCCCCACAAAAGCAGGATGGTAGTGATTTCACAGTTCTGACAGTGTGTGCACACATCTATGTGTAGCCATTTCATTTCAAAACAGCAAGACTTATTTGACATCAAAACAAACATTTTAAAAATGCTGTCTAAAAGTGCTTTGCATAAAAGAAAGTAAAATAATCATAAAACAAATAATAATCACAAAAATAAAACAATTAATTAAAAAACTTTGAAGATGATTAAAACATTTATTTAAAATGAATTTAAGACAGTTAAAAACGACTTCAGTTTTCTCCTTGTTTAACTGAAGATAATTTTGGCACATCCAACTAATTTCATCAATGCATTGGCAGAGGGAGTCAATGGGGCTGTAGTCATTTGGAGATAAGGCTAGGTAAATCTGGGTATCATCAGCATAGCTGTGATAGGCGATTTGGTTCTTTCTCATTATTTGACTTAGTGGGAGCATATACAGGCTAAACAAGAGCGGTGCAAGAATTGAGCCTTGTGGGACTCCGCATGCCATAGACGTCCACTTAGACTTATGCTCTCCTATACTCACATAATAACCTCTCCCTTCTAAGTATGACCTGAACCAATTGAGTACCATCCCAAAAAGTCCAACCCAGTTTTCCAGTCTCTCTAGAAGTATGTTATGATCGACAGTGTCAAATGCAGCACTGAGATCTAGTAGTACCAGCACTGATATTTTGCCAGAATCAGAATGTA